TCCAAAATATGATTTTCAAAATGAAACAAGTGCACCTAAAACATAACACAAGAATTTCCAAAATCTCTTTCCAAAACATACAGTTTAAATCCTCAAAATCCATTGCATTCTCCATGATATGCATGATTTAAAAATAGTTCGGTTTGCCTAGTCAACATGCAATTTCTACACCAATCACAGCTGTCCTCCACTGATAGCCCAAAACAAATACATCTAAACCGATACATAAATTCCTTTAAAGATATGCTCCTTTTTTTTTTTTTTTCAAAGTCTCAAATGAGAGTGATAATACATATCAAACTCCACCATCATCATTAATAATCCTCCGATTTCATATTTATAATGACAATTTCAATTATTTATACAAAATAATAATTTGATCCAATTAGGGCAAAACTTCCTTTATTTAACCCAATAGAACTCAACTTAATTCAACACAACTCAACATAGTCAACACAATTCAACATAATCAATACTATTCAACATGATTTAATTCAACACCACTAGGTATAATTCAACATAATTCAAGGTAAATTCTTAAATCCCATTTTAACATTCCATAACCGAGTTTATGTCATCTATATCATTAATAAATCATTTCCCTCAATTTTCTTTCTCATTATAACATGATTTACAATGCTCGTAACAAAGTTCATTCACAAATTTTAAACATAATTTTCAAATATAACCAAATTCCAATGAAACTTGTACATATATAATTCAACCTACCAATTTCATGATTCTACTTTCAATTTGGGACAAATCATTGATTATCATCATGAATCAACCTAGGGTTTCTAGAAAATCTAGAAATTTCAAGAAAAAATTCAAATTTCTTAACCCATTACTTTTTATTCCAACTTTCCCATTGATTATACACCTAGGGTTCATAATCCACCATTTTAACCCATCAATTGAAGTCCCAACATCTCAAATATACTCTAGATGCCCAAAAATGTAGGTTTTGTATGTATATAATCAAAATACCACAAATCTATCTATTTATGGAAGTATTGAGGAAGAACAAGAACCCCTACCTCAAGAATCAAGTAAAGGAGTGAAGCTTTGATGAGAATCCGTCACAAATCCGAGCTTCAATCGGTTGAAAATGTTGATCTTCTCTTGTTCTCCATCCTTGATGCAAGATCCATGGTGGATTTGTTGATAAAAGTGGAGGAAATCAAGGTTTTTAGGGCTAGGTTTTCGGACCTAGAATGAGAGGAAAGAAGAGGGGAAAAGAAATTGTAAAAAATGATCTAAAAATCACATTTTTAAGCTGCTAAACTCGCGCATACCGCTCGAGCGTACCTGCTTCCAGCACAGATTCCAAAACTTCGAACAGGTATAACTTTTCCATCCAGACTCCGTTTTAGGTCGTTCTTGTGTCCAAATCGAAGCCCCAACAATAAGATTTCCAATGGTTCTAGCCTCATATCCAAATTCAAAGTGTGAAAATGGAAAAGGGCAAAAGAGTGACGGCTGTTCGTAGGAAGATTATTCGAATTAAAGTTTTTGGTCCAATCTTACTTTACCATCATGTTACAACTTCAATCAATGACCCAAAATAAAATATGGAGGCTCCAAGCATAATAATAAAAGGTGAAAACAATCCCACTAGCCACAAAAATTCAAACTCAACCAGGTAGACCGCTTGAGCGCCCAATCTTGCGCTCGACAGCGCAGACCAACAAAGCCGGCTGCTCAAGCGACCACTCCTACGCTCGAGCGGGAATTCAAAACTCTCAGAATTTCGGAAAGACTGCAAAAATACTGGAAGCCACACAAGTCCGCTCGAGCATCAACTCCCCCGCTCGAGCGGAAGGAAAATTTCTAGATTGCTACATTAGTTCTTAGGTGCTTCAAGTTCATCATCAATTTGTAAAATTTCTTCACATCTTTCAAAAGTGAACCTTCTTGATGGATTCCAAAAGTGAAGGTTTCGGTGGATTACGGAGTCATTGGCGTCGTGGTGATTCGACAACCGTTGTTGTGGATTCAATAGGAAAAGCGGATAACCAGTGGAGGCAAAGGTGGTGCTACCCATATAGATTGAACAAACTTGCGAGCCTCGATTAGCCTTTATAAGATATCTCTTGTATTACTCTTCTTCATAGTGGATTTTTCGTTTGGCCGAGGGCCTGTAGTATTTTTATCACAAGTTGGTAGATTCCAATTATGATTTTTGCACGTAAAAAATCATGGTGTTGTGGTTGTGTTGGTTTACTCTCTCTTTTCTATATTGATCATGGTTGCATAATTTTTATTGGTTTGCCTAAATTGATAGTCACTTTATCATGGGACTATAAGATATAAATAGCACAGGGGATAAATGGATTCGGGCATACCCTGGTTATTAGAATCCAAAACAAAGAACTTTGTGGGTAAATCACGTGCTTCACAATCATGAACTAAGAACACCCAGCAATGGAGTGATACTACAGTATGAATATCACACACTCTAGTCACAGTGCAAAGGCTCGATCGTTATTCTGATGGAACAGAGTTAGAGAGAGAATATGGGAAAAATTAATCGTTATTCGATTTATCCCCACATCCCATATACCGTATTAGATATATAGGCCAGATTCTAACCATCTATCCATATCTCTTGACAAGATATGATAGATATAGACATTGAGATGGTGGGTTATCCAAACAAATAGGATAATTAATCAATCAAATTCAAATTACATGGGTAATTTGAATGGGTCATGGGTCATGACACATGGGCCCCCAAACTGGGGTCTAATACCCTACCTAATTTTCGACATCTCCCACACGCACATGAGTTGGCATGACACTGCCACATCTCTATCTCAATATCCCCAAATATTGAACAATCCTAGACTAGCTAATAAACCGTGCGACCGCTGAGAACACCTGCATGTGGGAGCTCTATACTAGAAACTCAAGATGAGCTAGCATAGAGATATCAACCCAAAAAGAATAGAAATAGTGTCTCATATACCCTAGACCCATCTAATTACACCGGTCCAAAACATCTCTAATCCCTCAAAAGAGCATGTTTGGCCCTCTCAATTCTTGCAATATATTCACGCTCAATCTGCCTCTCATACAGGCGATGTGAGTTGCCGGCAATGAATATACAACAGTGGTGTAATACTAGATGATCTTCCCTTCGCCCTCATGCCATTTAGTTTAGGATTGACCGCTTTCCCAGTGATGTCCCTTAAGTCCGAATCAAACATGACCGCAGGCAACATACCATAGTAGCGGCACATCAACGCCTTCCCTTATGACATAGTCAAAGTTCCCAAAAGGGTACATAAATGAAAGCCATATCAATAATGACATGTAAGACTCATACGGTGAGGAAACAGGGATCCATTCTCTCACCTCATTACTCGGTCGCCAAGCACATATAGTATGAATACATGCTACGGTGGAGTAATTTTTGGTTGGCGCCAAAATTTCAAAACTTTTATCTACGAGACTTATGTTTTAGCAACACAATGAGCATTGCTATTAGTGTGCTTACTTTTGGCGACGGCAAGTTGGCGTGGGCAAAGAGTTAATCATTTAGCGACGATAACACTATTCGTCGGTAAAAGTTTTGCTAGTGAAATGATGTGATTTAGTGATTTGTGTTTTTATTATAACTTTTTAAAGAGTTTTAAATATTCTAGTTAATGAATTGTAAAATTAAAATGATTATTGAATTAGATCACAAAATGAACCCATTAATCCCAAACACACTCTTAAGTTGAGATGACTAATTTGAGATAATTTAAACTTTTTCAAAGAATGTGGTTAGATTATCAATTTAAATATGTTTGGTTTTATTTTCAAAAATTAGTTTCAAATTTATTTTTCCTAAAAAAAAAATGGGTTAAAAAAAATACTTATTGTTTTTGTATAATTTTATCTTTTAGGTCATAAATACTTTTTAAAATTTTAGAAATATAATTTTGATTTTTATTGCTCTCAAATTATTTTTAATTTTTTAAAAAAACCTAAAAATTGTATTGAATTTTTTTTTTTTTGGTTTGGTGATCTGCCTCTACAAACATATGAGGCGGTGCAAATTTCCCTCCCAAAATTCCCTCTTTTTTTTCTAGGATAGGTGAATCCCCTCATCAATCTCTCCTCATCAATCTGCACGGTTTTCACTCTTGCACAGGTTTGTCTCACAATTTGTAGTTCTCTCCCCCAACCAAATCGCACACCCGCATATAGGTTTGTTGATCGTTGGGTTTGTGTCGTTTGCTGCCGTGTGCTGTAACAGCGCCCGCGCGTGGGGCCTCATTGCTACAGTTCGGACTCGATTTGTGTCACGGTTCTTAATCTGAACCAAAGAGTCCAAATCTGGCAAATCGTTTTGAGAAACAGATTTTTGAAAAAGTAGTGCCAAACATGGACTGCTTTGCCAGATACAGAGTCGCCACCTAAATATTTTAATTAATGTTAGATCTGGAAACGACGTCAACTTCCTATTCACTCATAAATGGTTTTGACGTTCCGTCTTCACCGTGTGACTTGCCACCCGGCAAGGAACACGTCACATTTTCAGACCCACCCCAAAAGACGTTTGGAGCCCACTCAATTTTGAGCTCAAAGTTGGCCCAAAATAAGCCTATATAAAACTAACTTTCCAACAAGATGTAGTTATGTGAATATTAATTGCTATTGAGCCATTGATTTTTCTTTTAAGTTATTATTATGAATTAGTACATTCACTGTTGATAGCTCACATCCTACTGTTTTTTTGTTTGGGTATGGCTTCTGTCAAGTCCGGGATCGGACTGAACCGTGTTGTTGGGCCCTTGGGGGCCCACCACGGGTTTCGTTTTGATAATCTGAACCGTCAGTGTGTAGAACTCGTTGAGTACTATATGCTTATAAAAAATCACGTTGATCGGATATCGATAGCTATATGATCACACTCCGTCGATTGAAAATTGACACCAAGACGCTATGTAGGCCACGTGTCAAGACACCTTGGCAATATTGATTTATGCCCTCCCTGGGCAATATTGATTTATTCTCTCTCTCTCTGTAGCATAGCACTTCCGACTCCCTCTCTCTGCCTCTCTTGTTTCTCTCTCTAAAACGATGGCGAACGATAATGAGCCCGCGAAGCTTCTTCTACCATACCTTCAACGAGCCGATGAGTTGCAGAAACACGAACCCCTAGTCGCCTACTACTGTCGATTGTATGCGATGGAACGAGGGTTGAAGATCCCACAGAGCGAACGTACTAAAACCACTAATTCGCTCCTTATTTCCCTCATGAATCAACTTGAAAAGGTACAAAATCATTCTTTGTGATGCTTTTTTCTTCTGTAATGTTATTTGTTGGTGACCATCAAGTTGAAGAGTTAATGATATTGATGGCTCCTTTTGCTTTGTATGATGGGTATTTATTTATCTTTCTAATTTAAATATTGGAGTTACTAGGTCTGTTTGGTTGCTGAGAAAACTGAGGTAAACCAAACCAAACCAGGCCTTAGTAGGCTTTATGAATCCTTCTTCTCGACCTTCTCGACTCTATCAAAGAACATATTGTTAGTCAAATTAAGACGCATCATATCTCTATTTACTAAACTAATCCACATTAATTTAGATCTGTCGCTTTCCCTAACACTTTCATCCACCGTCACTTTATCGCATCGTTTCACTACTACCTCTCTTGGTCTTGGTCGTATATGATCAAACAATCTCAATCTATTATCTTATCTTCTTTCAGTACACACTTACCTATTCTTGACTATACTCATTCATAACTCTATCTTTTTTTAGTTTTGCCGCACATCCACCTTAGCATCATCATCTCAGTAGCACTCATCTTATCTATATATTTCTTAGTTACCCAATATTCCGACTCATACAATATCGCTGGCCTAATAACCATTCTATGGAACTTCCTTTTTAGTTGAGTACTCGTTTATAGCACAATACCCCAGACGCACTCCTCCACTTAAGCCACCCTACCTTAATTCTATGGACCACATCCACACCAATCTCCCCCGTCGTTGTGATAATCGATCTTAAATAACAAAAATATTCACTCTTAAATAGTTCTTGGTTCTCAATCTATACTTTTCCTCTACTTTCATTGTTAATGTTACTAAAATTACACTCCATATACTCTATTTTAGTTCTGCTTATCCTATATATTTTAGATTCGAGTGTTTCTCTCCAAGTCTCCAACTTAATGTTACCTCATTCTCAAGTTGATTTAAAGTGAGCCAACTAGTTGTAGTAAGAACATTCTAGTGTAGGTCTGTTTGGTTTCCATTGGGTCTCAATGATTGAAACAATCGGAATTTATATTTTTTATTTCTTGCATCTTCTTTTCTCAAGCAATAAATTGTGTGGGCTTTGAGTATAGTGGTATTAAATGCCAAAAGTGCACGTACAATAGGAAACACAAAAAAATAAATAAATAAATAAAATAAAAAATAATAATTTGAGTGAGTTTTTTTTTGTTGCTAATGCTTTAAAATTATGTAACTACGACCTGATATTTCACCAATTTACGGATATTACATAATTTTAAAGCATTAGCAATTGTTTGGAATTCATTTTCTCATTTTGTCCATCTCCTCATTGGTATCTGCCCTACCCTGTTATTTTACAGGACAAGAAGACAGTAAAATTGGGTCCTGATGACCATTTGCACCTTGAGGGATTTGCTTTGAATGTCTTTGCAAAGGCAGACAAGCAAGATCGGGCTGGCCGAGCAGATTTGTATGATAATTTCTTTACTTATTTATGAAATAAGTATTTTGAAAAGTGTTTTATGATAATTATCTGAAAGGTATTTTGGAACTCATGCCTTGAAGTATGCATCTAGGTTAACTAAATGAGTTTCTGATTACTCAAGGTCTATGTCTCAATCTGTGAGATGCATTTAAAATACATTCCTTGTGCCTTGAGATCCCTTTATGCTATGGACGCATGCACCATGCTCCATCTGAATTTTCTGTCACTAAGTCTAAAACTAGGAACTCTCTTGATCATGTTATATTAGTTATGGGCAGGTTTTATTTCTAATTGAAGGTGGACTATAGACGTGTTTAAACGCTTAGGATCATAAGAGAATTTGCTCAGCTGAAAATATTCTTATAACTAACCTGATAACAATTTTTTTTTGGTTATTTGCTTGTTGGGTTGTTAGCTATTTTTATTAAATGAATAAATCATTTTACCCCTTGCACATTAAGAGTTCTTCCAATGATCTGTGCTGCAAACTTAGTTGTCTTTCTTGATCTTTGAATGAACAAATGTTGACTAGGTAACTAGGGGCATAGTTAAGTATATTTTCTTCAAAGCGAAGTTAGGTTTCATGTTTAAGCAGAGTTTCTTTGTCGAATGAGGATGTATTTAAAATCAAATGCATTTTTTCCCCCTTTTAGATTAGAAGAAGTTTGAGTTTTTCTGTTTTTTGTTCTTTTTAGACAATTGAAAAACCTATGAATATGTCAAGATTTATGTGTTTTTGTGGGATGCTCTAAAACTAATGTGCAACATCAATGAAGTGCCCTAGTATAGCTTGATTGTTTTCTTTCTGGTAAATTGAAAAACCTATGAATACTTTACCCGTCAAGATTTATTTGTTAAGCATATCCACAAAAGATGTCGTAATACTTCCAATATCTTTCATTCTTACATCAAAATTTATCTTCTATTTTATTGTTTTGTGAAAGATATTGTGTTAGTATGTAGCTTACCCAGCCTTGAAGTAGACCATTTCTCGAGTATAATCCTATCTTCTTATTATATATCATACTCTCTACGAGGAGAAAAAATTCACTGTTTTGCTTTGAAATCTAGTCTACTTTTTTTTCTGTCTAAACTTGAGTAATGCAATGTAACTTGTGGAGGAATTTGTTGGTGGTCATGCCTGTACTTGCGGTGTACCCTTGTGCTTAATTGTGTCAAGCTGTATACTGACACATCTATGAGATTGAAGCTCTCCATCCCTCTCTCAAGTCGATTCTTGGTAATTACCTGAGAGCAATAACTTGTTGCCTTCTTACAGGAATACCGCAAAGACATTTTATGCAGCAAGCATCTTTTTTGAGATTCTTACTCAGTTTGGTGAACTTCCGCCTGATGTGAGTCCTCTTATGACATTAATAATTTTCACATACATTAATAATTTTGACTTACAGTTTATTGTTATTATTATTTATAGGACTTCTGGCCATAGTAGATTAGTTTTATTTCTATATGATTTAATTGGCCATATTCGACTAGTATTCATGTTTATGATTGGTTGCTTTTAACAGCTTGAGCAGAAACAAAAGTATGCAGTGTGGAAAGCTGCGGATATAAGGAAAGCTATGAAAGAAGGAAGGAAGCCTGTACCAGGGCCCCCTGGTGGTGATGACGATTTATCATTACCGTCTGGTACATCAAGTGGTGAATATGTAAGTAGAATGATGTAGTTTTTGTCTGGTGAGGAAGAGAATAAAAGATGGTGTGCTTGTCAAACCAGTTGGAACTATTACCCACTGACCAAGCCTGAAAATATGGTAGAAATAGTATATTATTCCTTTATAAAATTTGTCGACTCCAATTCAAAAAAATAAATTAAAACCTCAGAAAATACAAACTTCACTCTCCATTGGCATTTTCTGCATGGTTTTTGCATTGCAGTTGGTGGTGAAAATTCTGATAGTAATACTAGTAAAAAAAGAAAAAAATTTGTGATGGCAACATAGAGGCTTCTTGAGGCTCTAAACTATGTTACATGAACTCTTCAAAATAAATCAAATACCCATATCGAACGCTTGACATTTGGATAAGGGTGTGGGATGTGTCCAATATTTTTTTTATATATAATTGTGTTTAACACTGCCTTCTGATGTATATTTTGTTGCATAATTGCTATAAAATGAGTAAAATGTCTTTTTGACACTCTATGCTAGTAAAACACCATTTTATCTCACAAAATAGATTAAAATTATAAAAAATATTACCTATTTTTGCTGAGTCCACATACCTTTTGGATTAGAAATTTGATGGGTTTGACTTCTAGATATGCGCCTGCATATGGCACCTGTACCCACAGCCATGTAACATAGGCCATAAAGTACTTTATCAAATAATGCATAGAATGTACTGTATTTTTGGGTTCCATAACAAATAATATGATTTGAAAGTATTTTAGGACTTTGATAAGGAAAGTTTATATAGGTTTTCATTTTTTGAAGAATTTGTGGCTTCTTCTCTTCTTTGCAGGATCTTGAGCCAAGCAGAACTGATCGAGGTATCAACCCTGCACCAGAACATGATCCATCACCTCAGTTTTATGATGAAGTTAAACCACAGCATACTGCAGACATTCCACCATCACCTCAGTTTTATGATGAAGTTAAACCCCAGCATACTACCGACATTCCACCATCAACTCAGTATTATGATGACGTTAAACCCCAGCATACTACAGACATTCCACCATCGCCTTCAAATAATTCACAATCACCTCATCTTTACCGTACTTCAAGTTACCCTACCCATGATTTTCAACCACCACCACCTCCATCCAACAGAACGGAAAATTCTACTTATTCTCAGCAATATCACCATCAACCCTACCCACAAGAACCTCAACAGCATTTTCCACAAGAACCTCAACAGCCTTTTCCACAAAACTACCCGTCTCATGAAATTCCCCCGTACTCCTATCCCAATTTCCAATCTTACCCTAGTTTTACAGAAACTAGCCTCGCAACAGCACCAACTAATTATCCTTCATATTATCAGGGTTCTGATGCTACTTACTCTACTCCTTCACCTCCGACCACGACAAATTATCCACCACCTGCTGAATACAAATCAAGCAGCAGAAATGGTACTGTTTCAGAATCTGCACCAACTCCTGTACAAATGTACCAATATGACAGCAATTACATGCCACCACCTGAGAAAATCGCCGAGGCACACAAGGCTGCGAGGTTTGCAGTTGGAGCTTTGGCATTTGATGATGTCTCTGTTGCAGTGGACCACCTTAAGAAATCACTGGAACTACTGACGAATCCAACAGCAGGTCACTGAGTTTGTTGCTTGATCTCATGGATCTGTGTGCCGGCAGAAATTTCTTGTGTCTGATTTTATATGGTTTGATTTGTAAAGTTTATTGGATTTTTTTTTTTTTTTAAATTTTAAATGAGATATTCTGTATCGCATATTGCCACATTAACTGAAATGAAAGGGGTGTGTAATTAATTGACTGCTTGTTTAAAAATGCTGTTTTTTGCCCTTTCTCCTATGGCTGATTCTTTCGATTTGGCAAGAGTTGCTTATATTGTTGATATACTGTGCTAGCACTTTACTAAAATTAAATGAAGTATAGATTTAAATTTAGTATGATTTGAGTTACATTTAAAGTACATTTGGTTCGTACATTTTATTTTTGGGATATGCTTGTGTTTATGGTGTGACTGACCCCTGTCCATGAAGTCCACATATGAGGATATGGTTGTGAAGCTAAATCTAAAATGGGCCTTATTTGATTCCCAAGTTAATATCCATTTTATTTCAATTTTGAAAGAGAAATGAACAGTTGTCATACGAACTGCAATATATTAAAGAGTATTGCTATTAATATCTAAAAATTAGATTAACTTTTTAAACTCAATATTAATGTCAAGAAGATATCTTTTTGACACATCACGTCTAGAAAGTGGGTTTAAAAAATGAACTTTTATATCATTTTTCATATTTAGATATTATATATTCAAATTCCATATCATACTTAAACTCCTATAGAAATTGTCACATGAATTGCAATTGTACTCCAATTTCATGGTTGTCATAAATAATCTAAAATGACCTTAGTATATAATTTTCTAGAAATAATCAATCTTTCCTGACCAGATCAATAACAGTGGCCTGATCACACGAAAAGTCAACCCTAGGTATTGGGTGTATGTATATATATACAATAGTGCTACATGCACTAATTAATGTACACACTAATGTATCAATTAGTATTATGCCATTATTATTGACCCCACCTATTATACAAATTATAAATATCTAAAATTTTTAAAATTATGTCACATCATCTATTAGTATATTAGTTACTAATTAGTACATTAATTGGTACATATAATATTATTCATATATATGTATGTGTTTTTTATATGTGATGTTCATGTGTGAATAGAACCACCACATCAGCTGCCCGCTGACAGCTACAAGACAATAATTTACGCTTTTATAATCCAAAATCTAAGCAGAACAACATAGATATATGATGAGAACAAGAACTTTTGTCTCAAACAGAGAGGAGTTTTGTTTCAACTTTGTTGGTTTTGTTTCGTCAACTTTGTTGTGGTGATGTAAATATACAATATGGACCTTTGCTTTCATCTCCTATTTTACCATGCATGCCCTGGCCTAGAAGTAAAAGATTGGGTAACACAAAGCACCTGTCTTCACATGTAATATAATCCACAATATTATCTTGGACATAGTTGAAATGCTATTTACATCATGTTTTTGTCTCATTACACATAATTTTTATTAATAAAAACAAAATTATTACATTTTTACTCTTTAACAAAATTACTTTTTATGACAAAAATTATAAAATTCAAAACAAAATTTCACTCCCCTAGAGCTCTCCGCTTTTCTGATGCCCCCAACCCTCTTCCTGCCATTCCATAGTGCCTATCCTCCCTCCCAACGTCATTTTTCCCACTAAACCCTTCAACTGCCAAACATCGACATTTTGTCTAGAGACCCTACATTTGGTTGAGAGAGACGGGGAAGGAGAGAGAGAGGGAGTGGGTGTAAGGAGAAGATTGGATATCAGAGAGGGGTATGATTAGAATATTGAGGGGCGTATTGAGAAAAAAAAGGAAGAAATTTTAAATTTTTTAATGAATGTAAAAGAAAGTGTGTGTAATGAGATTATGAGACGATGTCACAGTATAAAATCTCTAAAGACTACATGGAAAAAGTTCAAAACACCCCAATTTTTAGCCAGATTGATAATGAAATATTCATTACAAAGTAAACCCAGTAAGAGATATTTTAGTAAATTAAAGTAAAACCCAATTTTCTACTTTTTCTTTTTCTTTTTCTTTTTTTTTTTAAAGATTTTAACCCAATTATCTACTTTGATAATGACAGCAGTATGTTCTTGGTAATGACACAGTCATATGTTGTTGGTAAACCCAATTTGCTATTTTGCTCTTATCTACATTTTTTACAATGTTGATACCTACTAAGCTATGATGCTATGAAACCCCTTCCTTTCTATAGGAAAGTCCGTCAAAGAATCCTTTATATTCTTTCCCACCAAACAAATTCAAACCATCTTCAACTTCAAGTTCTACCCATATATCCATGCTTGGTCAACTCATTTTTGAATCAGAAAAATGGGACCAGCACTATGTGGTGGTGGCTCTTGGCAAACAAGCCCTAAAAGATTTGCAAAACAAGACTCTGACGATCAGCACGGTGGCTTCACAGTGTCCATAGCAAAGTTCATAAGGCCCACATGCATGTGGAGATCAAAGAAGAATATGATCACAGAGTTGCACCAACAAGAGAAGCAACAACAGCTATTGAAGAATGTGAATCAATTCACTCTAGAAGACTGGCTTTTGGCTTCACCAGGGTTAAACAATGGTGGTGACTTTCATGTTTTTAAACAGTTCTCTAATAGGGTTCATCCATCTTTGGGTGAAGAGGACTTGATGATCAAGTCTAGATCTATGGAGAGTTCTTCATTGAGCAGAAGCCAAAGTGGGAAGAGAAAGAAGAAGGTGAGCTTTAGGTTACCAGAAGTGGCTGATATAATCATAATTGATTCAAGGTAAATTAGAGTTTGGAAGGTGAATTTGAGATACTATAGCAATATTGTAACAACTCTGGCACCTGATTATCTATATCCATATATGTTGTTTTGTTTTAAAATATTCTTTGTTATTTAATTGTGTCTCGAGATTGTTAGTCTCTTTTTGGGGTTTTTGGGGCAGTTTGGAATTTATTTGTTACCCACCTACACCTTTTCCCTTTGTACCCATTTACTATATACGATTCATATATTACAGTTTTGGCTTTTTAGTATTTTTTTTTTTTTTGACATGTAATATTGTTGAATTTATCCACTGATTATGCATCTCAATGGATAATTTTTGTTTGTATGATTACTATATATGTGATAGCCCCGTTTCGTATTATGCTAATTGATCTTAATTATGATTGTGATTATATGCTTGATATGGCTTTGTGTGATAATCATATGATTATATGTGTTTTTGTAATTCTATCTGTTCATCGTAAAAAAAATTTGTTTGATTTTCTGCTTTAGAATTTAAATTGAAGGCCTTATCAGCCACAGAAATTAAAATTGATTACGCCATAGTGATTAGCATAATTTTTAGAGTTTATGGTGAAATTTAATTGAAAATTGATTCGAATTAAAATAATTAGATTCAGAACGATTAAATTAACTTCCATTATTTGGCCTAATTAAACTTGATTAGGAAAGCCTATATAAAGAGCCTTATTACACTCAATTCCTCCTCTTTAATTCATTTTGGCTGAGATTACTCTAGAGAGAGAGAGAGGGTCGGTTAGAGTGAGGAAGTGAAGGCAATTGGAGATTTGAGCAAGAAACTTGAAGAATTTGAAGATCAACTCAAGATTTAACTACAATTGTGAGGATTGAAGCTCCTAAGTGAGTAATTGAGCAAAGATTTATGAGTGTAAGTTGTAATTTTGTGGATTCAAAGTAAGATGGTGATCTAGAACATAAATTGAGTTGATCTTGATGAATTTGAAGTCAATGAATGCATGCATATAAGAAATTGCCATGAATTTGTATCTTTGAGCATGAAATACATGATCCATGTTGAATTTTGATTAAAGTTCATGCTTTTGAACATCTCTACATCATTTAAGTTGAGAATGAAAGTTATATCCCACATGCAAGTACAATTCATGGAGGTATGAGTTTTGAATGCATGAATTTGATGTGTTGGAGATAGATTTGGTATAATTTGAGTATGCATGTGATTGATTCATATGATTTGAGCTTCATAATGTTGTAATTTCGCATTTGTATCAGGTTAGAGGATGTGTATGTGAAGTATGAGTCATAATATGCAAGTTACCTTAGTTTGAATGCAAGTTTGAAGCTCAAACAACTTGCTGGAAAACCCAGAATTCGGCATGTCCGCTCGAGCGGGATAATGGCCGCTCGAACGTGAAATTCTAGTTCACAGAAGTTTTGTAGACATTGATGTCCGCTCGAGCGGGGAGGTTCACGCTCGAGCTCCAAGCCACGTAGTTTGACTTTCAGCTCGAGCGTAAAAGTGAGACAACCAGTACTTTTGTAGACCAAAGGGGTCCGCTCGAGCGGCAGAAGCCACGCTCGAGTGGGGATCCCTGTTTCAAAAATTTTGTACAGATGTTTTGTGTTTCATTTTCCGTTCTCTTTCATTTCTTAGTACTCTTAGTCATACATTAAACATTGTAAATGAGTTAAAATAATAAGAAATAAGCTTAAGAGGGATATATGAATTAAAAACGGATTGAATCGTTTATGACCCATTATGTTCATGAAATGTGTAGGGTCAAGCACGAGAGCAAATCCATTGGCAGATCACTGTGAGTAATATCGTAGTAAAGATATTTTGAAGTATGTTATATGTCCTATTGCTTATCCCTTTATAAGTCTTATAAGCTTGTTAATTTAAATTGTGGGCAAATATTTGTTTTGCTATATGATTGGGCCAAAGACCGTTGGATACAAATAATTAGGCCAAAGGCCGTTAGATATGAATGAAATGGGCCAAAGGCCGTCTGACATGAATGATTGGGCCAAAGGCCGTCGGACATGATGATTGGGCCAAAGGCCGTTTGACATGAATGATTGGGCCAAAGGCCATCAGATACAGACGATTGGGCCAAAGGCCATTGGACATGAATGATTGGGCTAAAGGCCGTCGAATATAAACGATTGGGCCAGAGGCCGTTTGACATGAATGAATGGGCCAAAGGCCATCGAACATGAGTGAATTGGGCCCGAGGCCGTTTGATACATTTAGAACTTTTGTCGTTTGATACATTAGATAGAAACATGAATTGGGCCCAAGGCCGTCTGATGTAACTGTTTCAAAGTTCGTTCATGTATCTTCTCTACTTGATATTATTCACTGGGCTTTCGCTCACTCTCATTCATGTGTCTGTAGGTGAGCCAAGAGATGTACAAACCCAGCCACGGTGAAGTTATGTGAGAAGAGTCAAGTTTTGTGGAGTCAGCCCAAACGTCTCACGTACGAGACTTGTTTTCGCCCCTTTTGTTCGTTGTTGTACTTTTATTAATGTTGGCGAAAATTTTGGATCACCTTTGTACATAAGCTTTTTGGTTTGGTTGATTATGACTTGAATGATCCTGTTGTGTAAAGTTCATATGTTAACTTTCCTTTTGGTGTGCGTTATTAATGAACACATATGTGAAATGTTATAATGTGCATATAAGTACAGCTCTATGAACAAAGTTTTAAATTTGTTTCCATTTTAGCCCCTTAACTCTGATGATATACGTTTATTCGGTTTGAGGCCGTAGCTGATCTCGTGATTACTTGTCGGTTATGACCTTAATCCTTTTAGGGGCGAGTTCAGGTCATAACAATATATTTGCTATACTGAGGGTTCTCCAATTTTGCAATTCTACTAGGTTCTTAAATAAGTATAAAAATATTCGAAAACTCATCAAGACTGATATTACTGTGATATTTTTACTTTTCCATTGCACCGGGTCATTTGCTCCAATAATAACTAATTAACAACCCACAAAAACACACAAAAGAGAAACAAAAGAGTGAGAAACAAGATTTCTCTCCTCTTTTCGATGGTTTGTACCAATTTTTTCAAAGCAGGATAACAGAAAGAACCCTTCTCTTTTTGCCCTTCTTTCCTCGCTAAGCAAGAGAAAGAGATGCAACTATGTGAAAGAACTGTAGCTGCTCTAATAGTTCTTTTGCATGACTACTAGCTCGACTCTCAACTCTTGAAAATAGCTCCTCACTAAGCCAATCACCTATGTGTGCATCGACTAGGACCCCACTTACGGCTCTGCAACTATTAGCTAGGGCTCGGCCAACCTCGATTGCATCATCTGGACAGTTAACCACAAGAGGGCTTCCACCTTTGAACACCTCCAGCTTGTTAATGGCGAATGAGCCATCGGCTTCGACTACCTCCTTGAAGTCTTGTATACTTGGTGCATACACTGGAATATTAAAGTTGTCACGTTTCTCGCTAGCAATAAGACCCTGCAATAATTTCAATTTATAATAAAAAATACGCATCAACAATACCAATTTAATGAATGCTATATTGACAAGATTGCACTTGGTATGGTTTTTTACAAAAATTCTTATTTATACAAAGTTAAATCTCTCATTACACAAATATAAAAAATGCTAAGCGTATGGAATTAGAATATCAAAAACAAAAATACATAGCAAGTATATTTTGCAGCTCAAATTCACGCTAAATGTAATATTAAATAAATCTCAGTCACACAATATATTTTTTTTTGTGTTTTAAGTTTGCCTACCTAGCTTTTTTGCACAAATATAAATGTCAACCCTAGGCCAACATGGGCCTTATTTTTCTGAAATCATGTTTGGCACACTATTATGCCTGGCCCACTATACTAGAGGAGATGGGCTAGCCAGGCCTGAGCATAGGGGCCTATAATTTTTTGTGGGCTTACAATCATCATATTCGATCATAGAAGGTTTTGAAATTGTTTTGATGGATTGAAATATCTAACGCGTACTTGGTACTTATAGACCCCTGAAGATACTATAATCATAGCCGTTCATCATGATTGATGATGCTGATTGAGGGACAGGATCAACGTACATGCACTGGCAATGTGGACTACTCATTTCTGATCAACAATCCAACGGATAAGAAATAATTAAAGTGTGCCCTAAGAACCATCCTCAATTGGGAGGCCCACTCACCTGCACCTGTTAGAGTAATGCCGACACAATGATCGACATCTGGAAGGCCAGATCAACCGATCAATGCCTAGAACAAATAAGGCAGTTGACCCATCGAACAGCCACAATTGCAGAAGTTTTTTAATCATGACCATTGGCATTTCTAGATTATTATTATGTGTCATATAAAACAAAACACTTCATCATATCTCCTTTTGTCCCTTTGTGTTTGTTTGTTATTTTCTTGTCTGACGTAGCATTTGATTTACTTCAACAAAATAAGAAGAATGCTCCATCAAAATGTTAATTTTTATATTTAATTAATAAATAAATAAATAATAAGATGAAATTGTCATTTATCACTATAAATGAATGGTTATTTTATCGTATATTAGAGCCAAATAAAAAAATTATTTTATTTTATTTTATCGATTTTTTTCACTTAACTAACACACTTTAATATTCTCATTAGAAAAAAGTTATGCGGTATATTAAGGTGTTATATAACTGGCAAAATAAAGTTTAAAATTTTTTTTTTTTTTTTTTTTAAAAAAAAAAAAAAATGAACGATACATATGCATGAATAATTATGATGAATGGATCCAAATCAATATCGAAAGAGTAAGGATCCTCTAGAGTTTTTTTTTCTTAAAGTTTTTGAAAGTAGTGCATTGTGTGGTTGAGATTTAATGACAAGTCATATCAATTTTTCAATATTAAATCTCAACTACACAATACACCACTATAAAAAAACTTTAGAAAAAAAAATCGAAAACCCATAAGAAAATTGAAAAGGACATGATATGATTACCTCTTGGACAAGATCATTCCAAGCATCCTGAAAGTGGGTCCCAAAGAGTAGGCCAGCCCCACCTTGGTCTGTTGGGTCCACAGAGGTTCTTCCTAAGCAGACCAGGAACATGGACCCACCTCTCTTCATCTCTTGCGATCTTGATCTTAGAAACTTGGCTAAATCTCCCTGGAACTGTTTCCTATAAGCATTTGCTGTGCTCTCATTTGCACCGTGGATGAAAACCCTTCCTTTGTTGTACGCCGTCGATCTCTTGTCTAACACCATCTCGGGCACCTGGGATACCAGAAAGACCATGATTCCGTGTGAGTGCTATACAGCAAAAAGTGTTCATGCAAAGCCAATGACTACACGTGTTCATGGTTTTCACCTATATTTGTTGTATAAGTACATGTGCCCTATTTGTTTGGTGCAGTTCAGGAGAGGTTTTTATTATTTTAAAATGTGTTAAAATAAAATAAAATAAAAAAATAATTTAATAAAAATTAAAGATGTTAATCATTAAAGAAATCCAAAATGAGCAAACGACAAAACCTATATTGGATGTTATGAAACAAGCTCTAAGAGTTGTAACAACCAAAAGAAACAGTAAAGTAACAACAATTAAGTGGAAACTAATCTTTAATTTACATTGTTGGCTCTTAATAATACAGACTATTAATTGGTGTAATGATTAAGGTTTGGTTTGGACTATCCAGCATGACAACAGTTTTTTTTAGGCTTTTTGTTAAATTAAATTATTAAATAATTGTATATTATTTAATTATCTTATTTACACGAAAGAATGTACAATAAGTTTATTAAGTATATAAATCTTCTTTTTGTTTTTTTGGATGAGTGAATTTATTATATCCAAACATGGGTTTTAATTGTACTGTACAATTCATACACAGAATTTTAACAATTTGAATGCATTTTTCATCTAACAGGGGCAATGGATCTAGACAAGATCAAACACTTAACATCGTTCTACAAATTCTCAAGTCATACATAACTTTTCGGATCTATACCCGTATAGAAAAATATAAGGTTATACACAAAAATAGACACATAAGAGTGATTTAACTCCAGACTTCAATTAAAATGAAATTCAATAAAAATAAAGATATACATAATCTTTATCCTATTTTGTACACATATCATCATCATCATCATCATCATCATGATGGTAATTAAATTGAAGCAAAATTACTTCATTCTAGAGTAAATAATTTTAATGTTATTTTATTTTATTTTTAATTTGAATCATGTGTTTAATTGTAATAAAAAAAATATAATAAGATCGTTGCAAAAAAATTATGATAGAGAAACTAGACTCACATATCTTAAGTAATGGACAAAAATGGAAAAGTCTACAGTTTGATAAAAGAGATCAGAAAATTGCTCATAATTTTTTATTGAGTATTGCTATTTAATTTTAAAAAATAGACTCACTTTTCAAGTCTAATGATTTAACAATCAATTAGAATATCGAAAAATGTTAGGAATACTAAAAATCTTACTAACACTCACAAGTTAATGTGGGTCCCATGCCAAGTGATGGTTAATCTTATCAAAACTTGTAAGGGTATTACTAAGACTGTTAGTAAATGTGTAAGTATCCGTAACATTGTTGTTAGAATATCTAAGGCAATACTCTCTCTCTCATATTTTTTCTAATTAGTAACTAATCATATTATTTGCAAATCATAGGGTTTAAAAAATAGATTTATATATCGTTTTTTATTTATTTATGGTGTGAATTTATTTATTTTTTCTTTTCTTGTGGACCACATTATAAATAAATCTTGGTCTTAAATTGAAAATTTTGTGCAAATTTCTGATTTTTAAGGACAAAAAATAACCTGAGAGAGCCAGTGCAAGGAAAATGCAGAGTAGAAAACATCAATAGATCTAGCCGGAAACAGTCGCCGGTAAAAGGATCCCGGAACCCCGGCAGCGAAGTAGGGGCGGTGGCCGTTGGCGGCTAGGCACTCCTCCATGCTGCCACCACCATTACTGGCCAAGGGTGGCAGAAGCTGGAAGAGAGTGTTGAAGTCATTTGATGGGAGGTCGGAGAAGAAAGCCGAGAACTCCGGCGGATCAACGTATCCGGAGGCCTCGTACCGCTTGATCATGTGTTTGATGATCACATCGACAATGTAGATAGTGTTTGTACCGCAGGAGCAACCCAAGTCTGCCACCACAAAGGGGATTTCCGGCGAGTCTAGTTGCACTCCATCTAGGGTTTCTTCAAGAAGATGAAGCATAGATCGAGCATGTTGAGCCTATATATATATAGCATCAAACATATGTTATAACTAACGGTTTGTTTAAGCGAAAAATATTCTTAAAAAAATACATTTCTAATTTTTAAAATTTAATATGACACAATATGAAAATGAACGAAATTATTCGTTACTACTACTATCATCACCACTCTACTACTCATCCACCACCGCCACCAAAATTACAACTAACCTATTAGTTTCAAGTTTGTGATGAAATATAAGAAAATATTTTATGCCAAAATGAAAGGGGAAAAAAAGCAAATAAAATGAGGGAAAATAAAGTATGAAGTAGGGGTGGAAAGGAACCTGGGCTTGAGAATTATTGGCATAGCTAGCCTCTCCTTTACCACCTTTCATGCTGAGCATCCTCTCAAGCTTCATACTGGAAACAACAACATTGTCTGCTGTGGGAGCCATATATTGATATTGCTCTGTATTATAAAATGAAAATTGGGTTATTGGTTTGTGTGTGTTTGAGAGAGCTATCAAGAGGTGTATATATAGAGCGGAGGAGAGGAGTCTTGTGTTTGTATTTATGCAGGGAAAAGATTATCGTCACACCCTTTAAGAGTGTATCGTATATGAAAAATCTAGAAATCTCTTAGATATTAATTTGTGATTATGTAACAATTTTAAGTAGAATATAATAATCTCAATCAAACAATCAAGACAAATCAACACAACGATTTTAACGTGGAAAAACCACAATTGGACAACTCCAATTGTGATTAAAAAATTACGAGTAACGGCCACAAAACAATCCACTAAGAAGATTTAAAGGAATTACACAGGTATGCTCTCAATTACTTAGCGAATCCACGCCTAATTGAACCAACCTCTATGTGCCTCTTCCAATCCCGTCTTTACCTCGGAATTATCTTTACGATGAGCCATTCCGGAATCCACCAAAACTTCATACTCAAATTCTTCAGAATCCACCGAATAACAACTCTCTCTCTCTTGTGCATAACAAACAAAACCTTTGATGTACTTTCTTTAAACCATGAGTTGAATACTCAATAAAACATAAAAAAAAAAAACTAACAAAATATCCTCAGATATAAATCTTAAGAACCAAAAAGAAGATCTGGAGGAATTAAATAGTTTTGGGAGAAAACCAACTATTTATAGAAAATCCAAAAGTAATCCTAGTTTTGGAAGAAATCCAATTACTTATAGAAATCCAAAAGTAATCCTAATTTTAGAAGAAAATCAACTTCTTAAAGAAATCTTTGTCAAACGGAATTGCCAATAATAAAACCTAACAATCTCCCCCTTTGGCAATGCCGTGACAAAACACACCTAACAAATAAAATCCTAATCACTCCAACCCATTACAGCCAACAAAAACAAACTTCTTTCTGACGGTCAAGATCTGCAAAATAACTATTAGTGTCACAATCTCCAAAACAACTATTAGTCCCACAAGCGTATATGAAAAAGCAATAGACATATGACGATGTAAATATCAGGAGCATGCAAGAAGGAAATAATACGCAAACAGTGCATAGCAACATGCAAAACAACTATAGCCAATCTCCCTTACCAAACAAAATAAAGTGTCATGCTAACAAACTCTTGCAATGATAAACCAAACTCCCTTACCAACCCAAATCAAGATGAACCAAACTCCCCCTCACTAAAAGCAACTACAAACACTGAAAATAGTGAACAAGAAGAAAAAGACAAAAATAATATGGTGGAGCAATCCAGAAATTTCAGATTAGTACCTTAAAACACACAAAGTACGCCAAAGGAAAGTCAAACCACTAGGAATCAAGGGGTATTTGGTGAGTAAAAGAGGAGGCTCCCCCTCAATCAATGAATCCTTTCTTTTTTTTCTTACTTTCTTTTGCACATTTTTTCTTTCTTTTGCATATTTTTTCTTCTTCTCTTTCTTTTTCTTTTTCTTTTTCTTTTTCTTTTTCTTTTTCTTTTTCTTTTGCACACTCATTGGCGGCTGACACGCTCAAGAGTATGGAAACCGAACCAGAGAAGCATAGATATAATAAAGATGGCTTGGTTGGTGACTCTGAGGTAGCCTTTTCCTCATGGCTAGACTACAAAGAATAGAGGGGAAAGCCGTGGAGATGCAAAAAGATGGTACGTGGATAAGAGACTCAACATCACCCATGATATGCTAGTATAGGTCAATTCCTCTAGAAAAGCAAAAGATACAATGCCAGAAGTCCATGGAGAAAAAATAATCACTAAGGCGGAAGACTCCAAAATTCGCTAATCCAAGAGTATGTACAAAATGAGACATACTAATCAAAAAACACACACTTCAAAACGAGTAATGACCACAGAAAGCACACATATATTAACATGTAATGGATATTCTCATCAATTCCAATATGCACCAAAGACCACTCAAAAATTTCAAGCATGCAAAACCATACTAAGAGAATCTTTTTGGGATTTTTTTTTTTTTTCTTAACCAAAGCAAGACAAAAAACGAACATGTACACATGTAATGACAAAAAAAAAAAAACACACAAAAACCCAAAAACTAAAACAAAAAAAACAAATTAACACAAGTCAAGTTTTCTCACCCAAACCGCTTTAGTATAAACAAGGTTGTGAGCATTGCGGTTCTTGGGTGTTGTCTTGACGTTGTGGTTCCCTTTGCTTTCAATGGGAACCCGTCTCGACTTGGTTTCCAACATCCTATTTTTAGGTCTAGACAAATACACTCTCCCATGCAACTTATAACAATAAGGGCGAATATGACCATGCATACCACAATGATGACAAAAAAAACATGGTGTACAGGGTGTACCTTCTTTTCTTTTACCTTACCAACTCTAGGAAGTTTGAGAAGTCCATCCTTATGTTGAAATTTTTGTTCCCCTTTTCCTTGAGTTCTTGTGTCATAAGATATGGAAGCACTTTGTTTTTGCTCTTTCTTACCACCAAACCAAATGTCACTCTTGTCATAACAAATTTGTTGAGACCCAATGATATTGTCCAAAGTTTTTGATCCTTTGTTCCAAAGACCAATGGTAGCCATAACGCACTTGAGTTCTTCCTCTTTCTTGATGATTAGTTCTTCCAAGGCAAGTTGAGACATCTCGAGAGTTTCAATCCTTTTTTCATATGTTGCATAGATTTGCTGTAGTTCATTCCTCTCTGTCTCACAAGTCAAGAGTTTTGCACAAAGAACTTGTCGATCATTAGAAATCTTGATGGCATCAATCCTAGCCTCGGAAATCTCCTCCTTTAGTTTGACATTCTCACTTTCACATGCTGCGAGTTTCATAGTGAGTTTGTCATTCAATTTGGACAACTTAAGAGATTCCTTATACAACTTTTCATAAGCGTGCTCAAGCTCTTCATCATCACTTCCCGAGGATTCATCATCAGTGGCATTCTCAACCGGGCTCTTCAGATACTCTGTTCGTCCTTCAGTTTCAGAAGCCGCCATGAAAGCAAGGAATTGTTTATATCCCTCTTCGCCTTGATCTTCGTTGTCACTTTCATCTTCATCAAATTCTGACTCATCATCCCAAGTGATGGCGAAGGCTTTCTTCTTCCTCAAACGAGTAGGGCATTCTGAAGCAAAGTGGCCAAATCCTTGGCATTCATAGCATTGGACTCTTTCAGAATTCTCTTGTATCTTTCCTTTCTCCTTCTTAGCTATAGAATTAACTTTGAGTTTATTTTTGCCTTTAGATTTATGAGTATGAGTAGATTCCAAGAGATTAAGATTCTTTTTCAAAAAAGATTTTTTAAACTGTTTAACAAAAGCAGCCGTAATCTTGAAATCTATCTCACAATCCTCATCAGAATCCTCTCCAACTCTATGAGCACTACTAAAAGCAATATCTTTTTGTTTCTTTTTGAAATTCCTATGTGCCTCATAAGTTTGGAGATTTCCAACCAACTGATCCAGCTTGAGGTTGTCAACATCTTGAGCCTCCTCAATAGCCGTAACTTTTGGTTGGAACCGATCGGGCAAGGATCTCAAAATTTTTCCCACAACTTTGGATTCTGGAATTTTTTCACCTAAATTGAAGCTGGAATTTACAATGTCACTCAACTTCGCATAAAATTCATCAAAGGTCTCATTATCTTTCATTGACAGGTTTTCAAAACTAGACGTGAGCCTTTGAAGTTTTGAGCGTTTAACAGAAGGAGTGCCCTCATGAATAGTTTGTAAGATATCCCAAGCCTCTTTTGCGACTTCACAATTGCAAATTCGGCTAAACTCTTCAGGTGTGACAGCGCAAAAGAAAGAATTGATAGCTTTATTATTCCAGCTACTATTTTGGTAATCAATTGTATCCCACTTTTCAATTGATTTAGGGAAAGTTACTCCATCAACAGTAATTGTTGGTTCGGTCCACCCATTCATGACAGATTGCCAAACTTTTTCATCTATATATTTCAAAAACGATCTCATCCGAGCTTTCCAAAAAGAATAATTGGATCCGTCAAGTAGGGGTGGTCGAACCATAGAATTTCCCTCACGAATTGAATCCATTATCACAAATCAAACAAGATCTCGTTCTAAAAGAATTTTTTTTTAAAAAAATAGAACGACCTGCTCTGATACCAATTGAAAAATCTAGAAATCCCCTAGATGTTGATTTGTGATTATGTATCAATTTTAAGCAGAATATAACAATCCCAATCAAACAATCAAGACAAAGAGACACAACGATTTAACGTGGAAAAAACCACAATTGGACACCTCCAACTGTGATAAAAAAACCACGAGCAACAGCCACAAAACAATCCACTAAGAAGATTTAAAGGAATTACACAGGTATACTCTCAATTACCTAGCGAATCCACGCCTAATTGAACCAACCTCTATGTGCCTCTTCCAACCCCGTCTTCACCTCGGAATTGTCTTTACGATGAGCCACTCCGGAATCCACCAAAACTTCAAGCTCAAATTCTGCAAAATCCACCGAAGAACAACTTTCTCTCTCTTGTGTATAACAAACAAAACCTTTAATGTACTCTCTTTAAACCATGCGTTGAATACTCAATAAAATATCAAAGAAAACTAACAAAATATCCTCAGATATAAACCTTAAGAACCAAAAAGAAGATCTAGAGGAATTAAATAGTTTTGGGAGAAAACCAACTATTTATAGAAAATTCAAAAGTAATCCTAGTTTTGGAAAAAATCCAATTACTTATAGGAATCCAAAAGTAATCCTAATTTTGGAAGAAGATCAACTTCTTAAAGAAATCTTTGTCAAACGGGATTGCCAATAATAAAACCTAACAATATATCATATACACTTTATAAATATAGGGAAAAAATGGTATAATTTTTTATTTTATAAGTTATAATTTAAAAAAATATTATAAAAATCATAACTAAAATCTCAAAATAATATCATAATTAAAAAAAATAATATAATTAAAAATGTATGATATATAGATGTGTATAAAAGAATCCTCCTTTACGGAGAGAGAAAGGAAGGTTGTGTTTGTATTTATTGAGAGAGAAAGAGAGCTTACGTTTGTATTCTATAAAAGATA